CCATTAAAAAAATTGGCTTGTATCACTGAAGGCAGAGCATGTTTCTTGCAAGCCAGGACATACACCAAGGTCCTCTCATTCTTCTTTGTATTAACGTCTGGACTATCTTCTTCAGTTTCAGTAACAGCTCAGCATTAGTGTTTTCTTGTCAAGGAGGGATGAAAATCAGAAGTAAAATACGTTTTTTATATGAATCCTTTGAATTATCAGTTGGGCAAGAGCAGTCAATTTTTTGGAGCTGGCACAAACAACCAGACCACTCAGAGTAAGGTACAGAAGTCTAACATGAAAAAGACACTATGCTTAAAGCTGTTGCATATTTAAAGTTCAAAGAACCTATAGCAAAAAGAAGGCACTTACCTTTGTTTCACATGTTTGTTTTTCAGTGCGTGAGTGAACTCACTTCTACTGAATTTTCTTCCCTTTTTTCCCCCCCATTTTGTTATTGTAGAGTACATATTATCAAAGCACATACTCCTTTGCTCTTAAACTACGACTACTGCCAACAACAGAATTAGCTATTGTGCAGAAAAAGATAGTTTCTCTATGAGAATCTGTAACAATCTCTTTCAGTTAATATAAAACATTTGATGCCCATCATCTAAAATCTGCAAGAGAAGTTGAGGTTTAAGTTAAATCATTTGAAAAACAGTTTTACAATATTAGAAACTCTGTGTAAAAACATTTGTAACTGATGCAATAGGAATGTTACACGTTTTCATATCAGCTACACCACTGCACAGTGCCAAGGCCGGGGCTGATGAAGTACACGAAAAGCTTGGTAGGATCCATTACAGTAACAGATAACAGCATAATGGGTCCTGACAGGCCAAACAAATATCAAAAACCTTTTTTCTCCTGTAATTGTGGAGCATAACTCAGGTGTCTTAGTGCCCCTGTAGCTATACAGCCTCTTCCTGGCCCAGTGCAATGGGTCTAATACCAGAGGCTGCCCTTCCGGGCAGAGGATGGGGGGTAGACCTCCAAGGAGCTCACCTCCACCACTAGGAAAACCTGGCTGTTACAGAAATACAGGTTAACAAACTGCATTACAAACGTTGCGCCCTGCTAGCTTGCAATGCCTTCCAATAATTTGTTGAAAACATAGAAGTCAAATCAGCATCTTTTTCTTATGTGCACCTGATCTCCAGATCTGCCCTTGATCTCGTTAACAGCACAAGCATCAAACTTAGAAGAAAGTTTAGGGCAGTTGCCACCCCTCCTGCCCTGCATGTAGCTTGCCTGTTCTCCTTGTTAAAATCCCACTGTGGGACAGGGCAGACGTTACCAGGGAGGTACACTAAAAAGGTACAGTAAACCAAGCTCTGAAGAGACAGAATATACCCATAATAATCCAATCTCTTGCCTTAACTAGGGAATGCCACATTCTTTGGTTTTCTTCCCTGTATCACCTTAAAAAGTTTTAAATGTTAAACTCTGTTGTAATATAAGAGCGTAACGTTGGGAATGTTTTTGACACCAAATGCATCACATACAACATAAGGACCAAAAAAAAGCTAGCCATGCACCAATGCTGACAACAAGGAAGTGGCCCCCAGGCTTAAGGCTGAGACACACGATTCAAAATCCTTGCTTTTAGTGATAAGGAAACCATAGGCTTGGAAGATCAAATTGCCATGGAAGACAATTCTCAGGAGCCAAAGATACAGGGACACACACCTCTCTGCTGGAGAAACAGAATATTGATGAGGTGAATACAGAGAACAGCATCCAGAGAAGCACTGTTAGAAATAAGAGTTGCCTGGAAATGCTAAAGGGTGGAAACCAGCCTGAGATGTGAAGCTTCAGCAATAATTTTGATCAGTCGAAGATCTCTGGACCGTCGCTACTCAGGTTTCATACCAGACCTGGTAGTCTCTCTAACATCATCATTACCACCTTGAACATTTAGTTATGAAGAAAGCCTGCAAGTACTTAAAAACTCACATCACAGTCTGCAGGTGTATTTTTCCCTGTGAGTTTCCCCACTCCTCACATAGCCAGAGAGGGGGGAAGTTATGGTAGTGCTCCAGGAAGACAGAACAACAAATGCAGAACGCACTAGGACTTCTTCACCATTTGCTAAATTTGGCAGGGACTGGTGAGACTTCAGACAAGCATCACTTCCCTCCAGCACATCAACCGCACCACACAGCTTGGTGTCATCAGCAAGCTTGCTGAGGATGCACTTGATCTCACTGTCCATGTCACCAACAAAAATGTCAAACAGCACCGGTCCCAGTATTGACCCCCTGAGGAACACCACTCATCACTGATCTCCACTTGGACATTGAGCCATTGACCACAACTCTTTGAGTGTGACCACCCAGCAGTCCATCCATCAAGTCCATGTCTCTCCAATTTAGTGAGAAGGATGTCATGGGGGACAGTGTGAATGCTTCGCACTAGTCCAGGTAGATGATGTCCACCAGTGCTGTAACCCCACTGTAGAAGGGCAACAGATTTGTCCAGCACAACCTGTCCTTAGTGAAGTCATGCTGGCTGTCACCAGTCAACTCCTTATTTCCCTTGTGCCTTAGCATAGTTTTGAGGACAATCTGTTCCATGCTCTTGCCAGGCACAGAGCTGAGACTGACTGGCCTATACTTCCCTTTTCTCTTCCTTTTTTCCCCCCTTTTTAAAAATGGAGGTTATGTTTCTCCTGTTCCAGTCAGGGAGGTTTTCATTGGACTGCCACGTCTTCTTAAATATAACCGTGGCTTAGCAACTACATCCACCAGTTCCCTGGGGACCCCTGGATGCATCTCATCACCTGAGAGCTATTGATAGCTTTCCCTTCACAGGCAATATCTTCGAACAGCAGAAGTCTCCATACAGAACTCAACCCCACATTATTTCATTTTATGAAGTTAACTGTTAGGAAAGGTCAACAGCCAGTTTGAAATGAAATCTGTACTTCACTTTTCTTCTTTGGTTAAAGGAAGAACAGGCATATTACCTTAAAATGCTATTTTTAGCTTTCTGATCAATTCGATGGAGTATTTTGTATTCAAGGGTATAGTTGCTGAGTTGTTAAAACCTGAAGTCAGCATTCATTCCTTGTCAGAAATAGACTTTTGTTAAAGGATTTTTTTTTTAATAGTATCTGGACTTCCGAGAAGGTGAAATTAAATTTGGAAGAGGATTCACTTATGCACCTCACTTAGGCCAATCTGATAAGGCAGACGTGAGAGAAGGGACAGATTTGATAAAGACAATTTATGGAAGAAGGGGTGCAGCATTAACCTTCCTGTACCAACAATTCACTCTTACAGATTGCTGAAAGATTTGTACCCAGAAGAGTGAGGTCATACATTTCACTCTTGCCTTTGTCTCTTACAAACTAGAATAGAGTTTGTGTTAATCTTTAAATAGTCAATGAAGCCAGTAGAAGCTGCACCATTACATGGTCTGATAAGGCATTCAGTCAATAGCCCTGTTTGATAGCTGGGTGAGGCTCCAGAGATCATTTATTTTGGAAGAACTAATTTTGCTTCTCTAGGACAAAGATCAGACAGCAGCAATTAAAAAGGACTTTGTTCAGTGCTTTGAATGAAGCAAGGATAACAGAGTGGTCTTCTGCAGGAGGCAGGCAAAGCAGTATATAAGGGTCAACTGATAAGAACAAGAAAAAAAACTATGACAGAATAAATAGGTTCAAGAAGTGTAATGCTGAGGGAAAATCACTATGTTGATGATAGATGCCACTGAAAGAGCAGAGGATTTATTAGAAGGAAATAAGTGCGCTGAGTTACTGGCTTGAAATCTTACAGGGATTCAGAGGAAACACATAATTTAATATTAAAGTTAAATTAAGCAGCAGCCTACAGGATACAGTTCCACATTCACTAAGTAAATGCAACTCATGCAGCTTGTTATGAAGGAACATCTTCTATACACCATGCAATCCAAGATTTGAAAGTAATAAAAACACCATCCTTGGGAAGCACATACTAGCCAGGAGACATCAGCACAACAGGGAACCCAGAGGGAACAACAGAACAAGGCTGGCAGACAGCTGCAAACATGATCACACTAAGACCTGTGGCTTCCCCAGTGAGCTCAGGAAGTATTACTGACTTCCTTAGGAGCTGCCTTGAGCATCCAGTGATAGGGAAGGAGATCCTACAGTCTATGAAAAAAAAAAACCACTGTTGTTCTTTAAGGGGTAGAAAAGACCCTTCGTTATTCACCTTTGATAGAGTTATGCAACTTCCAAGTCAAAAATTCAAACAAAAATGCTTGAGCCATTAATTACCATGTTCTCAGTTTATTCAAACCATGCCTCAAGCTAAATTCTTTAAGGTGAGAAGAACATCAGATCCCCTTGTTCCCAGTCACTCACATTGCTAACACTGGGGGGATTGATTTAATTCACATTATACGGAGAAAGCTTGTGGCAGGCTGGAGCTTCAGCCTCTCCTGTCCCCTGCAGCTGCTGGTCCCCAGTTGCTTAAAGAGAAACCTACAGCTCACGACCCCTATGTATGATTCTGGATCAACGTAGTTGGTCTCCTGTGTGAACTACGAAGGATTCCAGGCTTGAATTGTTTTTGAAAATACCTCAGTTTGAAAATGAAAGCTTACCACAACCCAAAGTGCTGGAACTGATTGGACAACAAGCCTTTGAACACTACCTTCACTTTCAGATTCAAATCCTAAAAAACCTAAAGGTCACTCATTTTTTTCACATGACTCAGCATGGTTAGCAAGACAAAACAAAAATCCATCAGTTAAAAAAAAATAAAAGGGCATTGCTAAGGATCTTCCTAACATCACACAAACCACCCCAGCAGCCTATAAAGACTTCCCAGAATTAGTGGGGTAGGAAAATCCTCAGAATGTAGCAGGCACTTCATACGTGCACCTTAGTCAGACTTCCCCATTATTCTGAATACAGCAACAATTGCTTGGGGTGTCCTAAAGCACAGCTAAGCTGACTGAATAGAGGCAGCAAAGATAGAAAAATTTTAAGGTCACTATGCCCTTCAAAAAATTACCTTTAAAAGTTGCTAGCATCGCTCAGCCAAGACAAAGCTACGTTCCTCGGGCAACAGGCTTCAATCAAGAACATAAGTCAGAGCTCCTGAGAAAAATTACACCACCTTGGAAAGCGACCTCCAGAAGAAAAAATGTTGTAATAGCAGGGAAGAAGGGTTAAATAGCCTCAGTCTTCACCGCAGCTGGGAACAACTTCAGGATCGTCTTGCAACCCTGATGAAAAGAACTCAAAAATCAGAGTTAGGGGGTTGAATGGAGACAGCTGTGTGGGATAACCTAGGTGTAGCTGTGGCCCTTGAGCAGATATCTCCTCGTGCCCCACCTACACAGGTACCAGAGGATTGTCCTGGTGAACTACTCTGGTCTGCCCTATTGAGGGGCATGTGGTGGGAGTAAGTACGCTCAGCTGATGTGTCCCACCACAAAGAAACACTACTCAGTTGTATCTCAGTTGTATCATCGGACAATGATTTCCTTTCAATTTATTTATTTTTTTAAAACCAATCACACCACAAGAAATGAGATCTTATGTGTAATCTTCAAATAGAAAACCAACTCCCCCTTCCACCTCTACGCAATATATACAGCCTTGTGCTACGAGTGCAAGCAAACGAACACTTCCCACTACATACACACATTAACTTTTAGCCAGCAAGAGGGATTATTAAATAATCAGCCATTTATTCAGAACTCAGTGATTTCATCTGCCAAGAATAAATCACAGCTTGTCCAGTTATTTTGATAGAGCTGCTTTGGCTGACAGATAGCAGAAGCAACACGCCGCTTCTCCAAAGACACTTGCTTTCACGTGTTAGCATCCTAGTAGCAGAGTGACGGTGCTGTGCAAGCTCTATTTCTCTAAATAAAAAGGCACCATCCTGCTAGGATCGCCTTGACCCCCCCACTTCTGGGCGTGTGGTGGGGTCTGCATGGTTAGCGTGCTGCATATCTGCAGCGATGTCCTGGCTGAACACACGCAGGGAGGTGGGACCACACGGAGGCTCCCTGCTCTTTCACCACTGCCACCAGTAATGGAAACATTTCCAGGTTGCTGACTTTGGAGAATATTGAATTTTTCCCCAGTCGGAGAGAATGCAATCCCATCTGCTTAAATCAGGCTCCCGGTATTAGCTCCCTGCCCGCCTTTGTATGTGACCACCTCTCAGACTGGGCAAGCACAGAGGGCGGCCACGAATTTCCTAGAACTGGGGTGTGTGGAAAAAAAAAAAATTAAAAAGCTCTAAAAGCCAGGAAAATAAAATGGACAAACATTGAATTACAAAAATCCTGATAAGGCAGCAGCAAAAGGATTAGGCAGGCTGGTCGCAGTCAGCAACAGTGAAATGTGACACAATAAAAACTCGGTTATTGAGTTAGGACCGCCCTAGGATACAACAGACCGAAATGAAGGAAAGCTCTGGATTACTTTGTTCTTGAATATTGATTTATTTTTTTCTCAGAAGCATGAAGCATGAAATATTACAGCGATAAGCAGAGATAGGGAAAGAAAAATAACCGAGGAATAGTCTGTAAGGGATTGTTTAAGATGCGCTGAACGAGTAATTCGGTTCAGTCCTAAACATCCCCTGCACCACATTTGCCCACGTTCACATTTGTCAGTACGGCTTTAATTATGTTGCAAAAGGACTGGTGCTGGTCCAGAAAGGCAAGAGAGCAGCGGTACGGCTCCCCTTGCTCCCCAGACACCTTCTGTGTCTGAGTGGTCATTCCTCCCACCCCAAAGTCAGTCCCCAGCATGGGGCAGCTCTGGGACCGGAGATGCTCTTCCACTGCCCCCAGCACAAATGCGACCCCTGGTGCTGCTGTCAATAGGGTTATGAACTGATACTAAAACTCTGACGGAAAGATGGACCCTCAGCAGGGACCCAGGGAAGGGTTATGTTTGTGTTTTTAATTTCACCATATGGCCAGCTGCCACTGCTGTAGGCTGCCCAGGCTGTGTTGCTGGCAGCTAATCAGGCAGCCAGCAGCTTGAATTTTTCGTGCTGGCTGGCAGCCAGTTGCTGAGATCCTGGCCCTGCGTGGTCACCAGCTGTGACAGGAGCTTGAGCAGGACCTCTGCATCCCACCTTCCTTCATGCTACCGCCGCACATGTCCCAGAACAAAAGCAAAACCAGAGCAAGCAGAGCTGAGGACGTACATCATCCCCCTTGGGTGAGAAATCAGGTGTCTTCCTGCAACCCCAGCACCCTGGGTAAGCACAACTCATTTCTCACGACACCTGCAGAAAACCAGTGACCTCAAACAGTATCAGCTGGAATCTCTTCATCCTCAAAAGGTGTTTGCACTGTTTTATTTTTTTTTTTTCAGAAGTCCAGACACTCAGAAATTGATATTGCTCTGTTTCAAGCAAAAGAAAAAAATATATATTTTTTTTTTTTATTAAAAGAAAAAAAAAATAAACCTTTCAGGGAGAAAAGAGAGAGAGGTATTTTCCTGGGAAAAACAGAAAAAAAATCCATAGCCACACTTCCTAACTAGAGCAGAAAGGACCTTCCCTCTCTGCACAGCAGCTCTTTCAGGTAAGATCTCTGCCCATCGCCCTGCTGAACAAATGATTAAATAATAAATAATTCCTGCTTCTTCAAGCTTAGAGGATCGGGAATTTTAGAGAAATTGCAGAGTGCTTTGAGCCACTTTACTGCTTTGTTAACACTTCTGGAATCAGGCAGTGAACAAAGGCTTCCAAGCTGGCTCTGCTCACTGCATGCCCTGCACGATGCAGCACCTCCCATTTTATACCATCAAATCTCCATCCCACAGGAAAGGCATCCAGAATACACCATGTCCCTAATTTTTACGCTACCAGGAGAACGAGGTGCTTTTCCAGGCACACGTGGCTCAGCCCTGCGGAAAACCCAGTGCTGTTCATCTGAAGAACAAGCACGTGCAGCTGGTTCGGTGCCTCAGCTCGGCGCCCACGCTGGCATCCTTTGCAGTGACAGCACTGTTATTTAGCACCCGTTTAACAGAGGTAGGCTGCCAGACACCGAGTTTGTCCTGCTCTCAGTTCTGCGTGGTTTTGGTGTGTTAGACGTGAGCGGTGTTTTTCGGAGCTGTGTTCAGGACCATTCTCAGGGTCTTGTTTGCTCGAACAAAACCAGAAGCATCGGCTTCACTGTCAGCAGCGTGCACTTACATGGATGCTGTTGCCTGGACCCTTTTGGAAGAAAAATAATTGCTGGAAATATCTTCTGTTCTGTTTTCTGCCAGCAGAGGGGCAGCCCAGCTTTCCCTCTCGCTAGCAATGTAAGAAATCCCTGTTGTAATATCTAGTGCTCATTATCCTCGTTGATAGCTTCCTGATCCTTTGTAATGTATGAGGAAGCTGGAGCAGGAGAGCAGGCACTCACAGCTTCAGTGGATTGGGCTTTAACTCGCTGCTGAGGCTTCCCAAGTCATCTAAACCCTCTATCTCATGTGCCTTCATTCTCCTGAAAAATGGAAAAAAATAAGCAGTCTGCATCCAAACGTGTCAATGGGGAGAGTCAGCGTGCATGGGCGTAGCTTAGCTCGCCACCAGCCAGTTAGGACAGAAAAGGGATTATTTTCCTCCTCCTCTACAGCTGGGAGAAATCAGGAGCAAACAGACCCAGGCTGTAAAGCAGCGCATCATCTTGCAAACAGAGCTACCAACAAAAAGCGCTTTTGCAAAGTTTCTGGTTTGTCCCATTATAAGTGGGAAGCCAGCCTCTTTAATTTTCACGAAGTGTCAAATATTGCCTTCAAAAACTAAAATCTGAGCATGTCAAACGCTGCCAGGCTGCACCTCTGGAACTGTGTTAGGTCTGTCCCATGATCCAAACAGGTTGTCTCCAGAGTGCAAAGAGGTGGTGGTACTGCAAACTCTGCTGCAGGACCATTGCCCCTCGTGGCAGGGAAAGGAGGAGAGTGCAGCAAGGTCTGGGAACACGGAAATCTGAGGATAATAAAATTGCACATCATCACAGTGATCGTGGAGTTTTATTGTAGAAGCTAAGACCAAAATCCCACTGCAGTTAACGTTATCAACCACGTCTCTCGTGCAACAAGTCTTCACGTGTGCAGCCAGCCCTGAAGAGAGCCACTTAGGCTCCATATGTTGGAAAACCTCTTCAATACGTTTAAGCTGCTGCACTGATTTAACATTCAGCCACATGCAGATGTTTTCCTGCTTCATTCTCCATCCCTATGCCTTCCCCCCTCCAAGCATGCCTAGATCACTGCGTATCCCCAAAAAAATAAATAAAATTAAAGAAGCTGAACACATCCAAACCCATGATTACACAGTCCCATGGCCAACTGCCACAAGTCAGACCGACAAGAACTAGGGGAAAAAATAGAGCTCAAATACCCGTACCAAGTCAAGCCACAATTAATCTGAATAATTTCAAGGGCAGGTCCAAAACGCACATACCAGCACAAATATTTTGATGATCTCAGCCAAGAGACTCCACCTCTCCCTCTTCAGGGCCGTAAACAAACTTAGGTCACTGGAAAAACTTCTTGAACTGAAGTACCCCAGCAGCAGAACACGCTCTTCCTTGTGGCTGTAATTATCACATCTTTTATTTAAGCAAAAATATTGTAAAAAATGGGATAAAACCAGAATGTTTAGCAGGATTTTTATTTTTTTAAGCTAACTCAAAAGCTGAATGTTATCCTTAGGATGCTCTTAAAGGCATTTTGGTAGGATTGTATTAGTAAGAAGAAGGTTGCTTGTGGTGGAGTCACTCTGGAGCAGCTGGAGGGACTTCTGGACGTGGGGACAAGGTGGCGGTGCCTGCGCATTGCCCGCACATCCTGCAGCACCCAGCGCCCACAACCCGGCTGGCGGCTGTGCAAGAATTTGGAGGAAGAGCTATAATTACATCTCTGCGCCAGTAATTATGTGTATTTCACACAGCTGAGCAGATGTCGTGGGGTACAATAGGTGCTGTGAAGAATACTCATTTATTAAGTAATTTATAGCATAATAATTAACAGCTAATCACTTGCAAGTTAAGATGCTCTGGGAACGGACCCAATTCGCAGTGTGCGCTGCCTCCTTCCAGGAAATCTCGCTGTTTAGACAGTGCTCCTCTGCTGCATCCCAGCAGAGCCCTTGCTTGCACACACACATCTGCAGGTAATAACCGGGTACGTGGCAGCGGCGCTAACGAAGAAATCAATCTCTCATGTGCTGCATCATGATATCCGCAGGGCAGGGGGCAGGGTGGGGAGCTCGTGCTGCTGAAGGAAAGGGAGGAAGAGGGTTTTACACCACGATCTGCTGTAGAAGAAAACCACCATCTTCTTTTACAGCTGAGCAGGCTTCATTTCTCTGCCCAGAGGTGGATACAAGCCAGGGGCTTCCCCAGCCTGCAGTGCCCCATGGTGCCCGTGCTGCAGGGCCCGACCTGCACCTGCTCCAGCAGAGCGGCTCCAGCCCAACTGGGGAGATTTGGGGTAACTCCGAGCCTCCCTTTCAGGGAGCGTCCCCTCATTCCTGCATCGTGAGACAAGCCATAGGATACGTAGCGCTCCCACAGCCTTTTAGTTCTTTGCTCTTGAAGTCACGCCAGTCCCAAAGCTTTTTATCCAGGGGCCTCTCCAAACCGAAATCATTTCCATCACCCTCCCAGTCCCCCGACTGGCTTCATTTTTGAAAAACAGCAGTAAGCTGAAGCCATTTTGCCATTTCTCTTGGGTTTCAGCCTTTGTTTCTGTCTTCTGCAATGCAAGCAGAGGCAACTTGCTGTGAGCCCACAGTGTTGGAGACTTTCCACCTCCTCCAAGATATAGCCCAGCCCACATGTCCAACAAAACATCCCTTTGCAGTGGTTCTTGCTATTTTTTGCTTTCACTGAGGTGCCAGCCATGGCCACCACATGTTCAATGAGATGTTTCACATTCTTTCTTGTTTTTCTGGGGAGGCAGATGGCAACGGATAGGTCTCCCATAGGGAAGTGCCTCCACATCTCCCCTAGCTCTGTGATTTGTATCTGATGCCAGTGCTCTGCAGCTAGGTGTGGTGTAAATGCCTGAAGTAACTAGGAAAATAAAACTAACATTCACACTTTTAAGGAAAAGGTACAGCATTGAAGAGGCTTTCAGGGTAGGGCATAACTGCATTATCTGAGCATTCCCTAGGCTCCCAACCTTAGATGCTATCGCGCTGGGGAAACTTGGTGTGCTAGCTCTAAGGAACACCACGGAGCGTGGAGTGGAGTGGAGACACCACGGCTAGGCTCTGTAATCAGGTGGGGCCTCGATTGTTCTTGTGCACAAAGCTGCACTTTTTGCCACCCTAAGCCAAAGACCTGTCATGTTTTGACAAATGCTGTACCCTAGTGTACTTTTTGCTCATTATAATATCATTATAATACCAAAACACACCTCCATCCCAAAAGCTACCCGCCTCCAAGGTGCGACCACCCCTCACTGAGCATGCGCTCTGAATTTCTCGGAGCCTATTACTTTAAACGGAGACGGGAAAACTTTACACCAATCGTAACTAAGATATGCTTGACTAGAGCCACTCAAGCTCCACCTAAAAGATAGAAAATAATATAAATTGCCCCAAGAGAGAGGGGATGTTAGGGAAGATACCATCGTCAGGGGAGATACCATCCCAAGGACATACAACATCCTTAGGACCTCCTGACTCCTGGGATCAGTCGACGGGCTGAGCCTCTCTTCCCCCCCCATTGGGACGCCTTTGGGTGAGATCTGAATATTTGCTTATAAATCTCTATAGAGTCTTTGATCCTTTTAACGCGTTTATTTCTAGGCTGCGCACCTGTAACACCTGTAACACCTGTAACACCTACCTAGAACCCACACCTAGAACCCACACCTAGAACCCGCACCTAGAACCCGCACCTAGAACCCGCACCTAGAACCCACCCTAGAACACCTAGAACCCGCACCTAGAACCCACACCTAGAACACACACCTAGAACACACACCTAGAACACACACCTAGAACACACACCTAGAACACCTGTAACACCTGTGTATTTCATGCATACTAGCTTGCTTTTGCAGATAGTCACTATCACCGGCAATCCAAAAGAACCTGATTATCTGTTGCTGTAATAAACCATACTTGATTGCATTGTGATAGCTCTCATTAATGCAACTAGGGTGAGGGTGGTTATCCGTGATAGTTCAGTGTTCTGAATCTAACCAGACCCCCAGACGGTTAATGCATTGTTGGTGAATGTCTGAACGGACCCCCAGGTGGTTAATACGTTTTTGGTGAATGTCTGAGCGGACCCCCAGGCGGTTATTACGTTTTTGGTGAATGTCCGAACGGACCCCCAGTTTTGGTGAATGTCCGACTGGTTCAGTACTCTGAATCCAACCGGGCCCGTAACGGTTAATCAGCTACACCCCTTTAACGCGACACTAGGCGAGGCTTCCCCTGCCTGTTTCAAAACCTGGGGAAACATATTAACTTGAAGCGTTTTGGAAGAATGAGTTCAACCAGAGCTCTCTTTAATAAGTTAAAACAAAATAATAAAAAATCAGCTGACATCGGCTGATGCTCCCCCCCAGGACAATCCCAGCCTCCAAGTTAATCACAGGCTCTCCCAAACCTCCGCACGCACTGCAATAGCTCAGCGATAATGCATGTGGGAATGATTCCTGCTGCAAAAAAAAATCATGCCTCATAGCCCATAAATCCACAGAGTGTGTCATTTCATATGGCCCAGGGCTGCGAACGAGCTGAGTGCTGCACAGAGAGATGACAAATCCATTTTGGATGTCAGAAGCAGAATAGCTTCCAGTCAGTCTCAGCCTGCAATGCAAGAATTCAGATTTACAGACCCAGAAGGTTCACTTTTTGCCTCATTTTATTGTCCATTAATTCGCTCTACAGCAGATGAGAAAGATTTTGGAAGAACAGGTGCCAAGACTCTGAGCTGCAGCAGGGAAAGAAGTCAACCCCTCTCAGTGCAACTCAGGAGAGCAGGCGAGGAGAGGGACTCAGCCCTGGGGTGGGCTGTCCTGCAGCCAGCCAGCAGCCCGTAAGGCAAAGGGGGGCTGCACACAGCTCTTTTGGCCTCAGTGGAAAACAAAAAGCAACCTTCTTTGGGACAGAAAGCAGCTGATGTTTGTAGCAGAAAAACAGTAACACCTACTGCTCGTGGTGGGCTTGGTGTTCGGATCAAAATCCTGCTGTGTTTTGCACACTCGTGCAATGTAGATGCTTCCAATAAAAGCCTGACATTTCTCCAAAATACAGCAACAGAGGGCTCAGGCTGTCCTGAAAGGGCACCCGGTGGGAGCCTTGTGCCTAGCACACAGTGCAAACTGCTCCTCAAAACCCGGGGGCTGAAACCAGCACGCACCCTCACCTCAGACCATGAGCTCCCGGCAGCCAGATCCTCCCCAGCCACCCATTTCTCACTCACACACAGGCACTGTAGGGTTTCCCTCAGTGGTTTCTAATGAATTTAAGATGTGTATGGGAACAGGATGGGGTGGGTAGGTGAAATGCTGGGTACTTTCCCCACAGCATTAATTATTCCTGGGTTTAAGGGCAAGCTGAGCAGTGCACTGGGTGAAGCAGAGGCAGGCAGAGCTTTGCCCCTCATCCTCATTCCCTGGGAGACCCCCAGCCTCCAAACCTCCACCTGGGAGCTGCCCATGGATGGAGGAGGACAGGCACCTGCAGGGCCTCCTTGACGGAGCCAAGGGGTGAAAAGGGGAGAAGATGCCCAGCCAGATCCTGCTTTGGCCCTAATTTTGTACAGGATGAGCTCTAAGAGGGACTCAACTCAAGGCTACAAGGTGGAGAGATGGCTAAAGATACAGTTGTGTTTTTCCCAACCTTTACTGTCCAATTCTATGTGGGCTGGAGAAATTTGTTTCCCAGCAACGAGGACAGTATTATTTTAGCCCTCGCTTTGTTCTTTGACCTCGTCGAGGAAACAACCGCACTCCACAAAAATACAGACCCGCTAATGGCTTCCTTCTCTTTATGATGGAAAATTACACACGCTTATCTGCCTCCTACGGAGACACTCGCAATCAATTCCCTGCTATTTGCAACATACTTTGAAAACCACACATATAGAAAGTGCTCTGTGAGAGCTGATAGCCATGTGTCAGGCAAACCAAGCAACAAGCGGGGCATTTTGGGGAGATTGGTTTGCACCTGGTACCCAAATCTGGACAGCACCAACGCCAGCTGGGGTCAGGGAGTCTGTTCTGCGGGCAGGAGCCCCATCAGCACCAAATAACTGGGGTGATGCTGCTCTCAGAGGGCACACAAGCAAGCATCTTCCTTGAGCTGCAGCAGGGAGCAGCCCCCTCCAGCTGTACCCCACATCTGGCAGCCCCTGCACAGGGCCAGCCCAGCACAGCAGCCTGGGAGAGGCTTTCAGTGGCGGACACTGCCCTCCAGTGGGACATTTGCCACCACACCGTCAACATACCAAGGTTATTCGAATTAAATTAAAAAAATAAAGAAAGAAAGAACTGAAACGAAGATAGAGAAGTCACAACCCCAGACTTGGGGACACAACTGCACTTTATTGCCAGCGAGGAGGATAGGGTGGTGGGTGTTGCTGTTTGCAAGTGGCTGCTCAGCAACAAGGATTCACAAAAGCACAAAAAGTGTTGTCCCCATTGCTCAAAAAGAGCAGAAGACTCCCCAAAACCTTACAGTCAAGCCCCAGCCTGTTTCTCACCCATGGTGCAAGAAGCTGAGAATTTGGTCAATGGCTTCAGTCTTGCCCTGGCTTCCTGCAGAGCTCTGCATGATGGGCAGAGGAAAGGAGGCAGGACAGAGCACAGGTACAAGATTAATTAATCCCTTAAATTAAGTAGCAAGACATCTCATTCCTTATTTTTTTTCCTTAAAAAAAATAACATTTATTTTTCCATGTACTGACACATCCACACAAATCTCAAGAAGAGAACATGGGAGAGGACAGAGTGCTGTGAGCAAGCATCTAAAAGTCATAAATAGTAAGACAAAGACGACTGTGAGAGAGGTGTTTGTCCACAAAAGACACAAGGAGGGGCCACGTAGCTGAGGAAGACAGGACCAACAGCAGAGGTGATGGTGGCCAGCAGGGTGTCAGAGCCCCCCTAGAGCGGGGGGGACTGCTCCAAGAAGACCGGATAAGCCTGCCCAGGGTGGGCACGGGCCCCCCACAGCCACTCCGGGGGCCTGGCCCTCAGCTTCAGCTGGAAGGGGTCAAGACGCAGGCAGTCCTCCAGGTCCTGCAGCTCCATCACCGGTTCCTCCGCAGGCCTCTCCGGTGGCTCCTCAGGCCCCGGGTCCCTCCTGGGGCGCTGTCCCCAGCATTTTGCCCCACACACGGCTGCGGTGGCCACCAGCGTCGCCAGGCAGGCCATGATGGCCGCCCCCACCAGGATGTCACCATGTCGGAGCAGGAAGCCCATCCCTGACAGAGAAGGTCCACAGCCTCAGCGGTTGGGCCTGCAGCTGCACCTCTGGTGGGGACACCATCCCCAACCACCCTCATTGTTGCTTCCAGGGTAGAACATCCCTCCCAAAACCCTGTCCCAAAGAAATATTTGGGCCATGAGGTGATGGTTTCCCAGCAGAGCCATCACTGAAATCACATGTGGCCACATGAAGGCTGGGCAGCCTGCTGCCACCCCCCTGCACACCTCAAGAGCCCCCCTCCCTCACCCCAGAGATAAAGATGCATTTATGGAATATATTAATATAACGCAATACCTAACTGACCTGGACAGGCTCAGACTGCAAAACTGGTTAATGAATTTGGAGCTGAGAGGATGGAAGAGGAACATGAGCTCAGCCAATTTTTTTTCCCCCATCTTGAAGCCACTTTCAGTTTTGCAAGGATGAGGAGGCATTTTGGCAAAGTAGCAGTGTTTTAAGTGGGTACTGCAAAATACTGGTGTATTTCAGGCTAGGAGGCCCTATTACTCTGCAAGATGGGATCAGCCAGCCCTGATTACAGTTAAGCACCACAAACCATCTGGGTAGCCTTGTGCTCAATTTGTTTGAGGAGCACTAGGGGAAACACTGGGAACATCACCATCCTTCTTGCCAAGACCTGCAGCGTGACAGGAGATTGATCACATCTCAGTGACCAAGCTCACTGATCACTGCACTGTAGCAGAGGTAAACCCTAGATCACCCTCAACCACTCTCTGCTTGAAGCTCCAAGCAGACAACATGAGGAGAAGCAGAAGATCTGGGGGAAGTAAAGGCTCACGCATGCCTAATTTTAACCCTGCAGCAAGAAAAGTAGCAAAGACGGGGGAGAGAAACTAATCCTAATAGAGAGGTCATATTTAGCAGTACCATAAACAGAGCACAGACAAACACCTCAGCTGTCATCAGCAATTAGCAGCATAAACACCAGGTTCAAGCACTGGCTGCTGCATCCACCCACTGGTCCCAGGGCACACAGGCTTCACTGACAGCTTCCACCTACACCCAAGGAGGGTTTGGTAAAGCTCAGTCAAGCTTTTGGGAGCCTGTGGGAGGCAACTCACTTAATTAAACCCAGCAAGCAGCAATACTTCCACCTGACACAGTTAACTGATGCAGGTCACCCCTTGGATGCCTATCTGAAAACTGATGCCTTTAGAGCCTGCATGGGATGAGGTAAAGGCAGTTTGTCCTTCAAGTACAAGACTCACCTCCTGACTTCGATACCTGACCTCAGTTTCTGAGAGGACTGCATAGTTCCCTGGTCTGCACACAACTCGTACAGAGATGCTCCTGAATCTAGGGCTGGAAGCATTCTTTTGCCTACAGGAACATCCAGCTGCAAAGTGCCTGGCAGAGATGTTATCTATTTTTCCCACTCCTAAAGCCACTGTGCCAGCAGCAGTGCTATTTTTAAAGCATCAGATGTAACACCTGATAGCAAAGGCACAGCTGGTTGGACCCCAGTCAAGGTAACACATGGCACGAGCTGGTATATAGGAGCCCTCTGAAGAGCAGGCAGCTACTGAGGATGCTGCACAAGTGACTTTCTCATCCATGCAGCACATTCACACCATCTCTGCACACATGATCATGCACCCTCATTCCCCAGCACTATCACCACAGAGAGATGCAAAAGAAAGCAGAGCACAAGAGCGCTACTGTGTCCCCTACCTGATGCGGGAACACGGACGCACAGCGTGCCAGATTTTGTGGGAGAACGGTCCTCGTAGCCCTTCTTGCAGCGGCACAAGTAGGTGCCCACACCATTGAAGCACTCTGCCTCCTCCCCACACAGGCTGACTCCCGAGCTGCACTCATTCACATCTGACAGGGAATAGGTGCCGTGAGGCACACGAGGCTTGGCACACGAGGGCCCTGCTGCCAGCCCAAGACACCCACCTTCCACCAGCAGCGAGACCAGCTGCAGCTTCTCCACCCCCACCGAGGCACCGAGCAGCTCTTCCAGCTGGGAATGCAGGAGCAGGGACACATTTCTCTCCTGGGGCTTCAGGTGCAGCCAGAAGGTGAGCAGCAGGCTGGCATTGCTCATCCTGCAGGCAGGGAGAGCCCAGGGTGAAGCAGGAGGAAAGCATCACTGCCAGGCCCTGCCATGAAATTTGGGCCTTCCACTCTTTAGTGCAGAGTCACGGTGCTGCAGGCTCTTGCAATGAGTGTTTGTGGCAAGAGCCTGCTTTGCTGGAGGAGAATGAGGAGCACCACAGGTTACAGAGGTGCCTGCTGAGTGGGTGGCACACCAATAACCCTACCTTTTGACTTCCTTTAACTTTATTTCATTGACTCTGGTGGCAGAGAGTTTCAGGTTCTGCTGGATCTGAAAACAAGAGCCAACAGTGATGATTCAACATTTGGTGGGCACAGATATGGCATCAAGCTTGCTTTTCCTAATCCTCCCTCCCCTCTTGCTCTTACACCCTTCACAGACTGTTCAGGACACATTAAACATCCCACTGCCTCATGCTCTGAGCCTTTCCTCTAGAATATTGCTAATTGCACCCAGCTGCCTAGCTTCAGCCCAACTCCAAGCACACAAGGTGATTTCAGAAGGGCAACAGTGACCCCAGGTAAGCATTTGGGCACTAACCCATGGGTGGATGCCATCCAGCTTTCTCAAGCAGGCAGCAGGCTGAACCCTACACACACAGAAGGCAAGATCAGGTGAAGACTTGGAATCATGCAAGTCCTGCCCCTCCTGGGCTCTGACTCGAAGCTGTCCCATTTCTAGAAGCAAGTTGCAACCCTTGGTTGGTTGCATCCCTGTCTCTGCAGAGCTTCTCTGCTGCCTTGTGATGGCCATAGCAGCTGATGCCAGCCCCTGCAGCCGGGCACCCTGCCACAGCATCAGCCTCAGCTGGTGACCAGCACAAGCAATTCAGATGCCAGCTCATCACATGGCATTAGCAGAAAATCCCTAGGGTGAAGAGCAGGATGTTATCTCCAGTAGCTGAGCATTTGGGACATAACATTTGATTTTCCATCCCCACGCCCAGACTTACGTGGTTCTTAATGGACTCTAAAAGATCTTTTCTGAGCTCGTTTCCACCAGGAGAGATCCACTCCTTGTGCTTGATTTCAGTCGTTACTTCAAACAGCACATCTACCAGAAGAAATAATATCTGAGCATGTTTAAGTCAACAAACAGGCTCTTAAACTTATTAAATTTAGCCCCAGATAATGGCAATAGCACAACAGCTACACAAAGACGTCCTCATCCTAGTGCCAACATGGGTGTTTCCAGATGCTGTGCATCAGGTAGAACAGGCTGGTGATGAACGGGTCAAGGCTAACCTCAACTAATGCCCAGTGCTGAATCCTGGGATCGATCTTTGAGCAAAGAACACACAAAGCATTAGTGTGCATTTGATTGCATTCAAGCTTCCTCAGCAATCACCTTTCCCAAAGCTATCTCTGTAATTTGCAATACCCTAAAAGCCCTCCTCTCTCACCCATCTCTGTTTGGGATCAGCTTCGATAAACAGCTGTGGTCTGGCTGAATCCAGGCTAGCACAGACTTGCCAGAGCCTGTTGTTTAAAAGCTTATTTATTCAGCAATATTTCTCCTATTCAAAGCACAGCCCCCTTCTGCATTGATTCCTTTTTGCAAGCTCTTTCTGGGGCTTGCTGTGCCACCCAAGCCTGGTTCTGTGCTTAGCTGCTGCTCCCATGGGCAGGTTGTGCTGTTCTCCCCAGTCTGAGGAGCAAGGCTCCTGAGCCAGGCAGTCCTGAGACTCCTGTGTGAGTGTGTTTGAGGAAGTGAGGACAGAATCCACTCATTTACCTTAGAAAAAGGAAACTTTAAGAGAGCCAACAACCAATTCTGGAACCGCTCAGCTTTCTCCAGCACAAAGTGCTGTCCAAATGGCTGCTGGTGAGGAGCACCCCACGCTCCTCTCAGAGTTTCACGAGCAGACGATGCCCAAGCACAGCACCACCCAGCACACCAGACTTCGGGCAGTGCTTGAAGACCTGCCTGAAGCCTTCGCATCACTCACCGCCTGGATGGTGCAGGGACTGCAGGGCTGTACCGTTCTCCAGGGATGCCAGGACAGAAGCCAGATCTGTGAGAGCAGGGAGAAGAGTCAGGCTGCTGACCTCTGCCCACTGGCAAGGGGGAATAAAAAGTAATCTACCATCAACTCCTAAACCTTAATGGGGGATGAGTGTCATATTTCCCCTCCTCCCTTTAAATTCTGGAGCTCAGACTGTTCTGACATCCCATAAGTGCCTATGATACAGCAGATGACCCTGTGGTGTCTTCCCCAGTTCCACCTTCCTTAGACATGGTGAAAGTCAGGAGTGCTACCACACGGACCAGCGGAAGGGAACAGATGAATCTCCAACATGCAATAAAAGCCTCTCAAGAGTGCTCCTTCTCTGGAAATGGACACTGGACAATGTTGGGCATCAGTTCAGCCACAAATAACCCGTAAAATCCCTTACCAGAGAGGTCTTCATGTGTTCCCTGTGGTGACACCATACCTCCAGCAGTCACACCAGGAGAGGGATGGAGAGGAGGTTGTGTAGTTGTGTTTAGCGGTGGCTTTTCCAGTGTTGGCAGGTGAAGTGTGGTGACCACCTCTGCTGCCAGCGTGCCACGGGCCTGACCCAGGTTAGAGAAGTCAGCAGAGAGGCCTGCGGTGCTGCTGGGCACCTCTGAAGGTGGGACACCAGATGAGCTACGTGGGGCTACAGTGACTGGAGCCGATACCAGCCCTGCATCCCCCTTTGCAGCCTTCAAGGACGGTTGCTCAGCTTCACACCCAGCATCGCCTCTGGCTGGAGCCACCAACATATCACTGGGTTCTCCCCCCTCGGTGCCACCATCCTGAGGGCTCCTTCCCATCTTGGTGTCATCCTGCAGCTCACCGTGTTTGTCCAGGCTAGCGCCAGGCTGGGCACCTCCGGCAAGGTCAGGAAGGTGTTGGTCTTCTTCATCCGAGCTTGTGACCTCAGGCTTGATCCTGTCTGCAGGAGGCACAGCTGATGGGCTCGGAGAAGCTCCCAGCATGGGCAGGAAGCTTTTTGTTACCGCTGTCCTCCAGCTCTCCTGAACAGGCTCTCTGGGAGCCATCACTTCATTTGAAGAACCCGCAGCTTCATCATCTACAAATACATAATACTGTCCCTTAAAATGCTTGTATTCACTGCTTCGGGAGCCACCCCCGGACAGAAATAACACGTGGACCACGGTGGCTCTTGTAGCAAAGATCAGAGTGCCTCGGTTGTGGCAGGCGTACACCACTTTGGTCTCCACACTTGAGAGCACGCCCTGGAAAATCATCTTGTCCTGATTCTTCCCGCAGACTTCGCTCCCCTGAAAGCCCTGGACGTAGATGACAATGTGCTTCTGGGGGCCTGCCCAGATGGTCCAGTTGCACCAGATGTTGGCTTTAATGTCACCGTGCTGGGGGAGGTAAAACATCCCAGACCTACCCCGAAGGACGACATGGCAGCTCCTGGCGGGGACGTACTCTGTCGCCCAGGGCAGCCCCAGCTCTGGCACATTGGGAGCAGAGAGGGAACACCATCAGTGGTTGTTATACACACACCAAGACACAGATACTATTATTCTAGGAGTTACAGCAGAAGAGGTCCTGTTTTAAACCACCTCCTGCTGGGAGGTTCCTGGAGCTCCAGCCCCCAGAGCCCCATCTCTGCCCTACAAACAGCACTGAGCTGAGGGACCTGGCCGCTCTGCATGCCTCCCCACAGCCCTTCCAGCCTCGGAGAGCTTGTGCTACATGTTTTTAATCCTAAAAGAGGCTTGGCCAACAAGACTGCTCTGTTGGAAGAACCCACAGGCAGCTGGGGTCTCGGCTGCCAGGCTGGGGCTGCAGGTGACAGACACCCCCTCCAATCCTAAAGACATCTCACAGCAAGACACAAGCACTCAGAGACCTACCAGCATGTTGCTGCTGCTGTCCTCCTGGTATCAGTGTCTTTCTGGACACGGGATCACTGTAGGGCTGCTGCAGCTCCTGGCCTCGCAGCACTCTTTGTCCCTGTAGGTCCACAGGAGGACTGGAGGGACGATGGCTCAAGGAGGCATTTCCCTGCTCACCAGCACCCACTTGGAGGCCTTTCATGATTTTCTGCATGTTAAATCCCCCGAGGAGGGTGGCAAAAGCCAGTCAGTCACTGGATGCTGCTGTGGTGTTTTGGTCTTCCCTCTCCCCCCAGGTGCCACCCCACAGCCACAACTCACCTGGTGCTGGGGACAAGGAAGGCCTGTGACAGACCTCAGCCTGGGGATGGAGGACACAGAGGGACCTCTGGCTGGAAATCCTGCAGGAGATGGGGTTTCTTCTCGCTGGCCACCCTCTTCCAGCACCCGTTTGCTCATCTCAAGGCCAAGGGGGCCGGGGGACACCTCTGCACCCAGCGTGGGGGCTGCTGATGGGTGGTGGGGTGGTGATGGGGAGAGCTCCTCCTGTCCTCCAGGGCTGGCTGGTGGGGTCCCTGCCCTTCTCCTGACAGCACCCAAACCCAGAGCTGCTGCTGGAGGTGAGTCCAACCTGGAAACAGCCTCTGCTTGTGAAGGAAGAGGATCCCTGGGGGAGAAATTGCCAGATCCTAAGCCCGCAGGGACGTGGTCAGGGTGGGAGAGGGCCGGTGTGGGGAATTTCCTTATTTCCAGGGGAGAAATACCCATCAGCTTCGCATGCTGGAGGCTGGCCTTTCCCAGGTGGGGTTGAGTTGTGGACAAACCCTCAAAATTGCTTTGGCTTCTCTCAGGTGGCAGCTGCGAGCTGTCCCTCCTCACAGGATCATATGGGGTACTTGGCACCAGGCCACCAGCACCACCCCTCGCTGTTCCATGGCTTTTGTCCTCCTCCTGGCTCTTGTTCTCCTCCAAACCAGCTGCACCCAGCCCCTGGTACGTGGTGGTACCAACAGGGCCTTGGCTTTCCCTTCTGCCAGGGGACAGAGCCCGTGAGCGAGCAGCTACGTTCAGGTGAGCGGCGTGTGTTGGTTTAATGGTGGGCTGGGGGCTGCCCACATCTCCCAGCCTCAGGGTAGGCTGCAGGACGGACAGATCACCTTCCTGACCCACATCTGTGGGCTGCAGAAAAGGCTCTGCTCCCTGCAAGGCTCTGAGCAGAGGAGTTTCCAAAGGCACACTTGAAAATCTGACATCTCCACTCGTGGCAGGGCTCCCACACTGATCCTCCTCGCAGGGCCTCGGGCCTGCTGGTGGCTCAGGCCCCGGCACGTGAGCAGGTTTTGCTTCCAGGAGTGGGATCTCTGTGCCTCTGAGCCCATCAGGGTTTCCTACAGGGCCTCTTCCCCACGGGGACACGTCGTGCAGCACCGCAGTCACACCAGAGCTCTCGGTGCTGTCCGTGCTCGCCAAGCCCAGCACGTCCCTGGGGCCTTCAGCCTGTCCAGGCTCAAAAACACCTCCTGGTTTGGGAAGCTCTGGAGATAGAGTTCTGGGAATTGAAGCACTGCTGGAGGGAGATCTGCTTTTCTCATCCTGGAAGGTGAAATATTTCCCTTTGAACCGTGCGTCCCTGCGGTTCGGCACGTACCTCTTCAGCAGCACCACACGGACAGCCTGAGCAAAGGTGGCAAAAACGTGCGTCTCCTTCTTCCAGCAGGCATAAACCACGCTGTTCTCCACCAGCGAGGACACCCCTTCGAAGAGGATCTTGTCCTCGTTCTTGTTACAACCTTCCTTAGTGGTAAAGCCCTGGATGTAAATGACGATATGCTTCCTGGAGCCTGCCCAGATGGTCCAGTTACACCAGAAGTTGACCGGAGAATCGCTGCAGTATGCGGGAGGAGAAAACTCCCCGTGGGCATCCCTCAGGACCCTGTGGCAGCTTCTCATGGATGCGTATGCCATTACCCACGGAAACTCTGCCCCTGCAAGACAAAAAGGGACAACCTCGAGTTGTCCTCCATCCACACCTCCCAGGGAGTTACTAGCCCTTATTTCCACCCTGGAGAAGGGAAGAAGGAGAGCAGGAGCTTGGGGATGAATGCTCAGACAGCCACAGAGCTGCAAGCTGTGCTGCCCTGAAGGCATCTTCACCCCCTTTCACTTCAAGGCTTCAGCCAAGCAAGAAGTCCTCACAGGCTCAGTAGGATGAGCAATGCTGACATCCCACTACAGCTAACTTAGCCCTCAAAATGGGGAATGCTTTCCCTTGGGGAGCCAGAAACACAGCATTTTCCAAAAAATGCTACCTCCGAGCTAGAAGAGCCGCTAGCAGTGGGTTTGCCCTGCAGGAGCAGGGTTCAGATTTGGACTGAGCTCCTGCTACGTGCTTTAATTGCCCCCCAACAGCAACTTGCTACAGCACAGTGCTCCTGCCCAGGGGTCCTGCAGCTTGAAACACAGGTATAGGAGTTAAATCTTACCTGGCTTTGCATCCTGATGCTCCGGGCAGGATCCACATGCCTATGAAGAAAACACTCTTACTGCACACCCAGCTGCCAGCACCCGCACTGGTGCAGCACAAGGCAGGTAGCCAAGAAGCAGCGAGCCCACCCAGAGCCCCCACCACCTCCCTTCTCCCTGCAGCAACAAGTGATGCCTCCTCCCCACCTCCAACACCAGCAGCGCTACCCAGTTTATGCTTTCAGGCCGTGATCAGCACAATAAAAGCCCCAAAAGAGGGTCAGGGCATCCCCCCATCACTCACCCCTGGGGCAGCACCAGGAGCCCCACAGGGGGGGCTCAGCAGCCTCCTGGGTGCTGGTCCCCATGCCAAGGGCACCAGGGCAAGGAGCACCAGGAGGGGCAAAGGCTTCATGGCAGAGGGCTCACACCATTAAAACAAGACCCCCAAAAAACCTAAAACACTTCTTCCTCCCTAAAACAACCCAGGAGACTTCCCCCCAGGCACAGCAAATGCTGCAGCCCCTCTCTGATATATGCACTCATAGTGCCTGGCCACCCGCCTGATTGCAATTAGCTCGTCAGGGACAAGCCAGCTGTCCCTCGTTAGAGGTCGGCCTCACAGCTTTCCTCCTTCCCTCCGTGTTTGGAGAGCAGGCACCTTCCTTTTGTAGGGTGTTGGAAACCGGAGTTAAGGCATCGATGTTGCTTGTGGTGTGACTTCGAAGCAGAGCCCAGCTTGCTTCATCTCTCCGCAATAATAACAATAAAAAGGGATTAAAGTACTGGGGGGAGAGCACCCTGGTGTAAAACCATCTCCACTCCATTTTAACCAGCTTTGGCTGGGGTCTGTGATTTCCCAACACTCCGTGAAACAAGGGAAAGTGCCTCAAAACACGAGGCTCCTCTCTCTGTCTGTGCGGAGTGAGGCAGAAAGCAAACAGCCCAGGTGATGATGTGCAAATTACGAGATGCTTCGTAGCCTCACTTGTCATTAGGGGCAACGCAAAGAAGGCAATTAGGCTGTCTGATGTACAGCTTTGACAACATAGCCTTTAAAATGTCAGTCATAATTTAATACCAGAAAAAAAAAAAAAAAAAAAAAAAAAATCCTTTCTTCTTCTAAGTTGTCACATCTTGACAGGCTGGTGTAGGCTTTCTCCCACGGCGGTGTGTTTGCATTTACAGCATCCCAAATGTCCCCAGAGCCCTGCTGGGTCCCGCTGCAGCCTCCCCATACTGGCCTGGGCATCTTGCACCGGGCTTTAGCCCCTAGGGAGACGTCCTGAAGGGGCTGAACGGGATCATGGGGCTCCGTTTGTTGTCAATTTGCTGGTACATAAATATTTGGGTAATTTTAGAGGGCTGGGGGTTGTTTTTTTGTGTGTGGTAGGTGTTTCTGTATGGGCTTCCTCCTGCTTGCAGCTCTCCTACGTACATCTACCCTGCTGTCATTTATAAAGTGGCGTAATCCTGCCGAGTTTAGGAGAAATTAATTTACCTTCTACCTCCCCCTAGCGATTGCATTTGGGCACGAAGGGAGAGGGAAGCTCGACAAAACTTCTTTAATCCTCTTTATAAAACCAAAGTTAGCAAACGCATTGTGTGCTTCCCTTTCCCGTGATTCCCGTCCCTCTTGCACAGCAAAAGTAAGAGGAAGAAAAGAGGTAAAGAAAGAAAAGAACCTGGGGCTTCCCTCAGCTCTCTCCCCAGAAATAATTGGAAGGTCTGGAGAAAAAAAAAAAAAAAAAAAGAAGAAAAAAAAAAAGTGAGGTGGATGGGAGGTAAAACCCCAGCTCTGAGGGTCAGTGGAGCGATGCTGGTGGGAGAAATGCCAACGCTGCCCACAGGGTCCAGCTGTGAAGACACAGATGAAGGCAAAAACAAAGATGAAAGAAGAAGAAAAGAATGGAAAAGGAGGAATAGAGAAGAGAAAAAAGGACAAATAAGAAGAAGAAGGAAAGGAGGGGGGGGAAGAAGGAGGAAGAAAAAGATGACAAGGATGGAAAGAAGGAAGAAAAGGAGAAGAAAAAGAGAAAAAAAGGGAGAAGAAAGAAGATGGAAAAGGAGGAGAAATTAGAAGGAAAAGAGGGAGAAAAATAGGAAAAGAAAGAAGAAGGAAAAGGAGGAGAAGCTTAGGGAAGAAAGGGAAGAAAGAATATGGAAAATAAGAGAGAAAAGAAGAAAGCAGAGCAGTGACTGCTGTGCCCGTGCCGGGGCTGTGCCCGACGGGGCCCCTCCAGCCCTTTGGGCTCTCCTGGTGCTGTGCCAGGACTGGGTCCCATGGGGCAGGGCAAGGGGCAGCTATGGGGCAGCCCCAGGTCAAAGCCACCAGCAGCAGGCAGAGCCCTCGGGGTGTGAGCACCCAGTCAATGGGCGACCTCGGAAATTTGGCACCGGCCGCCCAGCAAACCCAAGCCCCATTTTGTTGCTCCAAGGTGCTTTCCCTCTGTGTCCCCACCCAGGATGAGGTTTTCCTGAAGGAAAAGGTTGAGGTTTCCTGAATATTAAAAAATATTTCCAAAATATTTTCAAAATTTAGAAACGTGTGCATTTTATAGGCATGACGCACATGGCACTGCTTCCTCCTCACCCGGGTGATTTTTTAGTTGCTTAACCCAGCATCGCTCGGTGTTGCCTGCTGGTGCATTCTTGAAAACAAAAGGACGTATCCGGCTGCCAGCAGCTCACAAGACTGGTTCTCCACCAGATTTATACATACACAAGCTCACAGTGACACGCAGGGCATCAGACTCCGAGGGAAATCCCAAAAGCTGGAGACAACAGAGAGCTGCATGGTGTGGGTGCCAAAAATCACAAGGAGCCCTGCTGGGAGCCGCCACGGAGGCTGCCCGGCACAAAGGGGCCAGAGGGAGGAAGCACGCTGCTGCCTCGATAAGGGACCCCCTGCCGCGGCCGTGACCAAAAAAAGCAACAATAAAAAAAAAAGTCAGAATTGGGGAGGATTGACGGGTGGTGGCCCTGAGGTGGGTGGCGGAGGAGCTGGAGATGCTGAAGGTGAAGGCACCCGGGGCTGGGAGGCGCAGAAGCAAGGCAGCTGTCCCTTGCCACCCCAGCAGGTCGCCAGCCACCTCCCCCAGTTTTGGCTAAAAAATAAGCAACAACAACAGTCTGAAACAGGGAAGAAATCAAAAAGGTGATGGGTGTCTTGAGAGCGGTGCTATCCCCGTGCTCCTGCCCCGCGAGCGCTAATTGCGCCGCCCGGGAGCAGCCGGTGGTTGTTTTTCTGCTGGTAATTGCTCGCGGGGGCCACGTCCTCCCCAGGCAGCCCCAGAGGTTTTGCTCGCAGCCATTTGCCCCAGGGAGAAGCAGAAACACCGCAGGAGATGTTGGCAACGACCGAAGTGCGCCCCGTTTCCTCTTCTGCAACCGCGTTTCGAGAGCTGGTAACGAAAACCAGCATCGGCCGCCCCGCTGCGGGTGCGGGGAATTTGCCAGTAAGACACAGCCTTGCATTTCTGCATCAGCGTCACCCACCCGGGAAAGACCCAGCACCCCGGGGGATTTCCCCTGCCTGGCAAAAAAAATCTATCTACATCGATCCCTCTGCCCTAAAAGAGCCCGATCTGCACCCAGAAAGGCGGTGGCATGATGCTGATGCATCGCTGAGCAAATCGGTCCGTCGGCTCCCACCCAAAACTTTTAGGGTGGCTGCCGAGAGGTGCAGGTGGTGAGAAGCACAATTTTGGGGCAGCTGTCTCCCCTCCCCGTATACAAGCACCAGGCAGCGCTGTGTGTGTGGCCATAGGGTGACCCAAAACCTCTCCCCTTGCTGGCCGTGTCGGGTCAGTATGGGAAAGAAGTGGGGCAAAAATCCCAACCTTGCCATGTCCAGTTGATTCTAAAAAAAATATAAATACGTAAAAAGCTGAAACATAAAACTCCCTTTCCCAAAAAAAGATAAAGAAAAAAGAAAAATAGGAGCCACAGACAGGTATCGGGGCTCTGTGCGTGGGTTTGCTCCAGTTTCCAGGTGCTGCCAGAGCTGAAAAGGAAGAAATGGGTGATCTGAGGGGGACGTCGGAGCCAGGAAGTGGTTTAAGAACGAGCATGACGGTGAGGATTGAGAATGTCACCCCTTTTTCCTTTAATATCTCTAGCTGCGTGTGACGCTGGAGGAAACCGTCATTCCCCATACAGGGCTTGTGCTCCCTGCCCTGTCGGAAGGTTTTGACATCAAGAAGGGAAGGGAAGCCTTAAAATTCAAGCAACAAAAGACCATCAGGCCAACTGGAAAACCAGGACCAACCCTAGCTCTCGAAGGCTGCAGGAGATGCTGCCCTGTCCTCTGTACACCTGCATGTCAGCTCCTGGACAGCCTGGGCAAAGGTCATGGACCTTCAAAGCTTTGGGGAAAAAATATAAAAAGACAACTCTTAGCTAAAACCCTAAAATTTACTGGCGTGCTGGCACCATTGGCTGGAAGGGAGGGGTTTAGGGACTGTTATTTATTGAAATATCACTGGGACTTGATGTCAGCCCACAGGCTCGTAGGAAATTGCAGTGAGTGGGAGATGTTGAACCCTCTCCACTTTAGGAGGCTGAGTTTGCAGGATCCGGCCATCGGGGAAGGCTCGGCAGGGTTGTGGCCGACCTTCAGTGCTGGTGTGGGCAGTGCGAGACGTCCAGGGTCACCAAATCCTCCAGGGTTACGGGGGTAAAGAGCAAAGGGTTTGGGATCTGCCGCTCTCACTGCAACCTCCTGCCCTTTCTGGCTTCTTAATAATTACATCTCTTCCTGCTGGAAAGCAGGGAGCCAGGCCAAGGAGCAGCAGCAGAAGGAAGTTGGGAGAGTCAAAGCGTTACTGATGTAGGCTCAATTTATCAGATTAACAGACGTGGGGGCGATGAGCACATCCACCACCGAGTGACCCCAGCCTCCTCCCTTTCTCCACCGCGTTCGTCTTGGTCACCCGCAGAACCAGATTGGCTCTTGCCCGAAAAGCTTGAGTTTTTAGGACCAGCATTTGGGGGAGTTTCATCAAAATGAAGACAACAAAAAGTCTGGGTAAATCACACTGCCTACGTGCGATGGCTTGTTGTGAAAATGATGGAAATAATTATCTTCTGTGCGGTTGTTGCAGCGTTGGTGTTCCTGCACGTTAGCTACGCTGCCGGTAATTGCCAGGAATTTTGTATATTAAGAGAGCAAAGATTTTGGGGCTGGCTCCTGACAAAACTGCTGAAGGTGAACAAAGGAACCAGCAGCAGGCCGGCCCCTGGGTCCATCTGGCCGTGCTCACAAATGACCAAGGAAAAGCAAGGACAAGACAAGCACGTAAGGTGCTCCCCCACGAGCCCAGGCAAATTTTAGTATCCAAAAGCCCCAAGGCGAGGAGCTGCACAGATCCATCCAGGTGTAAAACCCCACCGTGTGTTGTGTCCCTGACTGCTACCAGTTCCTTTGAAGACCCCCTTCTTGCTTTTCCAGGCCACTGCCATGCCCCCCTCGGTCATTTCTTCCCAAATCCATCACAGCTGCTCCTAAGACAGAGCCTGTTCAATG